TCGAATCAGGAAAAAATAAATAAAAATAAATAAAAGGCAACACACCAACCGTAAAACTTGGTCGACATCCGAGCCACATACGGATATTAGTCTGAGACTATCCATTCTAGACTCGCCAGAGGTGTCGAATCAGGAAAAAAATTTGTGTCCCATCAAGCGTCAAATTCAGCTAAGCCGTACCATAGCAGCATTACCCCTATAAAACCATCAAAATGTCCCCAAGTCACAGCGGTCATAGGGACTAAGCGTCAAGGGCAATGAAAGCCTGCTTGGCAAAGGTGCCAAGCCCCCTTCGAAGCACGCCCATCAGTCATACAAGGGATCGAAATCCCAGTCCTGGTGCCGAATCGCGAAAAAGTGTCCTCAATGAGTCTCATTGGGTAGCGTCTCAGAATCAGCTCGCGTCGCACAGCGAGGAGACTCTCCTGAAACCCCCAAGTGTCAGTGGACAATCGAAAAATTCGATGCAGCGTACTGAGAATGGCCCCAATCTTAGTCCTTTTGCTAGAATAAGACTCATAGTCTTGAAAACCTCCAAACACCAGTTCCCCTGTCTGCCAGATGCTGGCCTCGTTCTTAACCACGGCGACAGTCCGCACTACAATACCAAATCTAGAAACCGTGATCCCAGCAAAAGTCCAATCCTCCCCTCCTTCATCTGTACGAATAAGTCGGAGCACATTCCCATAGCATACCAGGAATCGTTCCAAGATTCGATGTGCACGTGTACGCCCATACTCCCCCACAATGGCCACAAAAATCGTAACATCATCTACGATCCGGAACCCTCACAATAGTCGCCTGTCCCTTCCTAAGCTCTTGAGAAACGACAACTCAGCCACTGAACACAAAATGCATGCCAACAGGCAGCTCGAAGATTTACCCATTGGCACACCCACTACCTGTCTAAGCAGCTGCCCTGCAGAACGGATGAAGGTGAAACAAAGATCAAACTGTACCATTTCTCTGATATCATGAAGAGAAACTGATACACATTCATCTCTCGAACCGCCGTACCACAACCAAGCCCCCTTCCCTCGTTTAGCAACCCGTACTCTGCGACATCCCTTGGTTTCGAAAAAACTGATCACCCAATGGACAGCCCTCCGTATGTCAGTATGGGGAAGCGAGACAAACATGTCCTTGATATCAAACGAGGCTGATAATAATGCATGGTAGCCTTCCTGTTTCCGAAAGTCCTGATCCATTGATTGAACTCCAGGCAAGAAGTCCATAACAGCTTTGAGATTGAACCCAGACTTGTCGGGCAGGGCAAACAAAAGCGCATTCAATGCTCTCGCAATTCTGGAACTAGCTAACCTGGTGGGTTCGGCACAAGTGGGCGATATGGGTCGCCATCTGGACAAATCTTTGTGTTTAGGTAAGATGTAAGCATTCCCGAAATGTCCACCGGCGTCCCACTTACCTAGCCTTTGCAACCCCAGATCATGGAACACAGTCCTCATCCGACCCAACACTTCTTCTTCTCCACAGTTGATCGGTTGAAAAGATAAGTTCCAATTGAAAGTCATAAACAGAAAATGCTTATACAGGACCGGACACAACACCAAAGTGTCAGATGTATTCCTATCTATAGGCACACAGACAAATGGTTTGAGGCGCTGAATCCATTGCCCCAGGTGGTACAGATCACCATCTTCAACTTCCCCAGATTGCACCCCCCAGCACCCGACCAGGTTACAATGCTCCACCACATATGATGAGTTCAGGTAGGTTGCGATCCGAACCAACTGTTTCCCTAGCTCCAGTACCCCCTGTTTGGGAACCACTCGAGGCACATTACGAGAGTTACGTAACAGCGTAGGCACACCCGGAATACATCCAATCCTAGTCATGACATGCAGACCAGAATGTTCCCAAGATGGTTCCATTACACACGAACAGGTCCAATCTGTATTTTCTTTGGTCCATTGCTGAACCGTCCGAAAATAACCGCTGACTGGCGTATTCTTTCACCAAACAAAACGCACCTTCTTTGCCAACAAGCCTTTGATCACCCCAGGTAACTGAGACAGAGTTATGACCCTTAGGATCAATTCATGTATCTTAGCAGTATCAATCCTATGATCATAACGCAACTTGACAACAATCCTATTACGGACGTCAATCCCTACCCTACGTTTGATGACCCGGGCCAACACCCCTCTTAATGTAGTTCTAGTCTGCTTACCAGAAAACTCACGGATAGCTTTGAACCATCGTACTAGCAGTGCAATCGATCTAAGCCTAAAAAAACGTCGCCTCCAAGGGTGAAGGAGGAGCAGTCTAAGCTGCCTCATGTGAACAGCCCGACCATTTGGAGTAAAAATAATCGGTCGTAGCACCCAGACTCCTCCCGCTTGAAGATCATGCTTCACATCTTCAATGGCAACTTCGATGAGCCGACATGCACAAGGGTTAGTCCAAAGCATCGTCTCAACAGAGGCCAACCATCAGCCCACAGATTACAAGGAGAGATTTCAACCCGAATTTCTTTCATGTTTCCCAGCACAGCCTACCGTAAAATGGCAATAAGACTATCTGACCAACATTCACCAGCCTTCCTAAAAGTCAGAAGCCCGATCACCGTGTCGGACAACACTTTACCTGGTCTCTTGATCCGACTGGGTCTCTTGGACCGTGTCTGCTTCCGAATCCGTCGCCTATAGTTAAGGACAGGCGAGAAAATCTTGATTACCCTTGTTTCAGCAGTTTGCACTGACATAACCCCATTAACTAGAGGCACACGTACATACCTTCCTACGCCAATCAAGTGCAACCATCGGTACAACTTGGGACACACTCCAAGCCCATTGACCCTCACCGTCCTAAGATGCTCCGCCCAGCGCACAAAAATGCCACGCGTCGAACAACCCACATACTGGGCCCTACACCAAGGGGATGATAAGACATAGACAACTGGTCCTACATCCCAAGAATCCCAGTCAAGCTCGCGAAGTAGGGATCTAAACTTACACATCCAGAGAATTTCACCAAGCAAAGCCAAGGCCACAAAGCACAGAGTCGCACATTTGTCATAAAGACGACGAAGGTGCGCGGAACCCCCTATTTCCCAGCTCATGTTGCGCAGATGCATCACCTGCATCAAGTTGCTCCACAGTCGGACTCTCGAAAAATGAGCCATTCACTTACACGGAGTGTCGTCCCCTTCCGGAGAAGCGGCCGGCGTTGGTGCTGGAGTAAAGATAAAGCCCTCATATGCAAGCTTAACTCGAGCCTCAATGATCTGTTCAATATTGGGTGCCTTCGTAGTATACTGAACCCCTTCTGCTGCGCATATCACCTTCAACTGGTCCTTATTCTTGCCTGTAAGGAGCCTCCGCTGCTGCAACACATAGTTCAACACACCCTCTGGACCACTGTCCGCAGGTATCTTGGTCCTTGGCCGGTCTTCCGTCATCTTAGAGGATTCAGCTCGCGGCGTGTCATACCCCGATCCATCACCCCTATGAAAAACAGGTTGTCGGAACGGTCTTCTTCCTCCCGTCATCGCCTCCTTACCCTTTCTCCTCTTTTCCTCCCTGATCTCGTACAGCATAGCGATCTCGTCTTCAATGTTTTCAACGCCTCGGTTCTCATAATCCTTGATTTCCCTCTCCCTGATAACTACACCCGGAGTCCGATTACTCGGTGTATGAAGCTCCTGCCGTCGGGCTTCTTCTCTCGACACCAGATACTGACGCCCGATCTTGGAGAGCACTCGCGCCTCCAGTGCCTCCGAGTTCCTCTCGATTTCCTGCTTGATAAGTTCGTCCATCTTCCTTTTCTCATCCAAATCCCTCCTACGTGCTTGCTCTTGCCTTTTCTCCTGAATGAGCTGACGGAGAAATTCCCGCTCCTCATTGTCCTCCTGCGGCCGCCTAGGTGTCCAATAGCGTAGGGTGGTTGGCGTCACAGCAGCTGCTCCTCCACCTGGCTGCTGCTGACGTTGGGAAGGGCATTCTCGGGCGAAATGCCCCTCCCCCCCACAGTTGAAACACTTATTGCCTGATGCCGCCATAACGCGAAATCCGAGAAGTGCACAAAGGAATCGTCAGAAGGCTTATCAGTAATCTCCAAAGATTGACACAGGTTCCTCCGTGGCACCGTCGAATTGTAGCCTATACGATTGCCCCTCGGACCCGATCACAACAACAGTTCGTAAGAAATCCAAAAAACGCAGTGTGGAAAGTTCTAGCACCCCATATCCCTAATAGTATAAGCCGTAGTAATAGCCCCTGACTCCATCAGTGAGAACTAATCCACACACACTATAATGCTAATCCGATCAGCCACACTCTCGTGAATGGCAATCACTCGAACAAGAGTGTTATCCTCAGGAAACCACAGCGCACACTTAACGAGTACTCTATCCATCATAACCAATGTATGTTACGTACCCCAAACCCCTACGGCATGGAAAACAAAAACACATTCGATGACCGAAACCAAAGTATGTTACGTACCCCAACCCCCTACGGCATGGAAAACAAAAACACATTCGATGACCGAAACCAAAGACCGTACTCGTAAACAAAACCTAGATCCGTGACCACCACATAATGTACAACCGCACTACAGGTTGCCACGTCAGTCGGAAATGAGTGACAGCCCGGCAAAGACTGCCCCAGCATGAGAACGAAAAGCAACAATACTCCCAGATACTCGTTCCGTTACGCATGCATACAAAGCAATCAGAATCACAATGGGAGATCGAGAAGAGCAAGATACACCAATACAGATCTGAACTCGGAACTCCAATGTCCAACCGACTGCATAACACCAAACCACATCCCCGCGGCCAACACCTCGACGCGTTTCGTCCGCCCCGCACGTGGACTCTTCAGGAGGATCACTCCAACTGATAGCCAATCTACCTGACSTGGAGGCCATACCTATGCCTTGCCTCCATTTATACTCATCCAATCCCCSTCCTCTCACCGATGAGGGTACTCACCCTCCCACTACCCGGCATTGCTTCCAAGCTACCCATGTCATCTGCAGGGAGCACCTTCAAACATCGCAGCTCAGCACTCATAGGGAAACCCCCACTCCCCAGCGACAGAATTCCCATGTGCCCTACTCCCCGGCGACAAAAATGCTTTTCGAATTCAAATAAGCGTTCAACAAATTCCGAAATTCGGTGTTTTGGCCAACTTTTTCGTTAATGGTCCAAATATGTCCAAACTCAATACATGATATACCCGAAAGCACATACATATCGCACACCCAAAAAAAAAACAAGAAAAAAAGCAAAAAATCAAGGCAATATGGCAGTTTCCGTGAAAATTTCTGCAAAAATGACACCACCTGTTAACCACGTGTGTCTCAGGCATGCCAAAGGGGAAACTACGCGGGAGTCACAAAAATGAGTTATGGGCCAAGATACAGTTTCGAATTGCAGTTCGGGCAATGTATACAACCCAGCTTTCTGGCGAGGTGGGGTGCCCGAAGTGCAATTGCAGACTGTATCTTCCCCAATAGTGCAATTGTAACTCGTATTTGTGACTCTACTGAATTTGGGTTAGAACTTATTGTTGCGCCCGTGTCTCGATTACAATAAAGTTGGAGAGGGGTATTGGGTCGCCCTGCCTTAACGATTTTTGAAGGGGGAATGGTTAGGAGAGGTGACCATTTGCCATGACATTTGTCATTGCCGCGTGATGGAGGTTCCTAAACACCCGGCCGCACTTCATTTTTTGGAGACATAGGTCCAAAAAAAAGAAGACCCAATCAATGTAATCACATGCCGAGCGGTGGGGGGTTCTCACCCCACTCTTGAGCACCTGGCCAAAGTTCACTTTTTGGAGACATAGGTCCAAGAAGACTCAATCAACATAACCATAGGTTTTCACAAAGTCTACCAATGGGATGGCAGCTTCTTGTTTTCTTCCCCTAGTGTACCTTATTTTTCTATGATTCAACAAAAATGTTATGATTCTTCTATATTTCAACCTGGGATGAATCCGGATTGGTCTGGGTAAGTCAAGTGTTTCATGAAGCGCAACAGTCCAATGGTTAGTGTTTCTGCGACCATCTTCTAGCTGACTTTACGTAGTGTGATAAGGTGGCAATTTCTGATATCCTTCTCGTTTCCTTTCCTGTACAAGAGGGTAGCTCCCTTCGGGTTCAATAATCCCCCAGAGCTTGCCTCCCTGTAGACTGCATTAAAGCAGAGGTTGACAAACTGTTTTTACCCCCTACCCACATCCACCCCAGCCCTAGACTTTATGTGTTCATATGTCCCCGGACCAAGTACATAAACATGAAGTTGTTTACCCAGACCCAGCCCACCGACACTGATTAATCCTTTTCCTGCCCATAGTCACGCTAGCCTAACTTGACAAGGCTGCCTTCCAAAGTTGGCGAGCCTGCACCCGCGCCTTTTCAAAGCGCCCTGCCTCTTTCGCCACCAGCCCAGGCCCGAATCGAAATGCTCCTACCGTGTAGCGGACCTCTGGTTGGCCTGTGAGACCAGCCCCTTGGCCTGTCCTCACAGGCCTGTGTTCTATTCGGGGGCAGTCCAGTCCAGGCCGGTACCTCTGTCGGACCAGCCAGTCCAGTCCAGTCCCGTCAGTCCGCTGGGGTATACCCCAGCCATTGTCTGTTTTCGAGATCATTCTACATCCGCACAGTTTGGAGTACGTGCGCTGGAGTCTTGCGTGGGAGCTGCGCTGTGTTGTCTCGCTCCTCCCTCATCCTCCATCTCCATCACCATCCCTAGCGAAGCACCACACCTGGTGGGTCCGCTACATTGGTATCGGAGCGGGAACGTTCTTGCGTGGGAGCTGCGCTGTGTTGTCTCGCTCCTCCCTCATCCTCCATCTCCATCACCATCCCTAGCGAAGCACCTGACCTGGTGGGTCCGCTACATTGGTATCGAAGCGGGAACGTTCCCCGCTCCCACCCACCATCCCGTACAGTTGTACAGCCAGGAAAACAGCAAACCCGACAGCGGTTTTTTTTGCTGTTTTTCGGGTGTTTTCCACTGAAAACGACGGAAAAAGCAGGCGCCTGCAGGAGGTGACACGTGGCGAAAAAAGCAGGCGCCACCACGAGCACGTGCGCGCAAGCGCCAAGGCCAAGGCTGCCGCACGCGCGCACGCCACGCACCTACGCTACCTCGTAAACCGGTAAGAGCACTACTTACGCCGGTGTGAACTAGTGGTCTCGCCGTACCCAGCCACACCCAACCCTAATTTTCATCCACCCGAATCTGGCCACAGCGAGGCCGGATTTTCATCGACCCGTGACCAGCCGTACGCTTACGAAAGTTTTGCCACCCGCCCTTGATTTTCCCCTCGATTTAAAACTTGTGTCACCGCATCTCAGACCGTTTATCTTGCATTCACAGATTATCACACTCAGCACAACTTAGGTTGAAATTCAGTAACAGATTCAAACACGTAAAGTCAATTTTAGGAAATGAAAAGCATATCAAACATTTTAGCAAGGTGTCAAGGTCAGTCAGCTAGGATCTAGAAGCATCTGAGACAGGCTAGGAGAGAACCATAGTAGTCCTACTGATCTACCAGATTGCTGCCCCAGCCTCCACCAGAGGCCACCACTGGGCCTAACCACTAGAGGATGCAAAGAAAAAAAGTCGGCCACGCCGAAAACACAGGGGTCAGTCTGAATTAATTCAATAGTCAGGCCCCAGCACTTTGCGGTGACAAAAAGAGTCGCCAGGCCATATTACTATTAGGGTCTGGCGACTCTGGCCCTAATATTAAACCACCAATGCTTCCGAGCCACTTTTACATGGGGCTCCAAACGCCCCGCAGCCCGTGTTTTGGCTGGTACCACCATACATTTTGCTCTAGCTGTGGACCTCGAAACGTTGAGGTAGCAAGCAAGGCACGTCGGAGAAAAATGGTTGGGAAACGTACTCATGGTTTAAACCACCTTGCATACATAGAAAAGAATGAGCAAATAATAGCTAATCTATGTCACTCATCCAACCTATTTGACTCATTTAGAAGACTCAATCCAACAACCAAGTCTTTTTCGTGTTTTAGAAAAAATCAAACGAATAAAAATACCAAATCCAGAATTGATCTTATAATGGTATCAGAGGAACTACAAGTCGCTCTCCAGTTTGCTAATATATTACCACGCTCCTTTTTCCCTGGCCTGGACCACTCGTTGGCAGTTGCAGTTTTTTCGTTTCACGAGAAACCAGACCAAGGCGAGAAGAGGTTAACCGGCCCCCCATATTTCACCTCAATTTATAAGAAAAACATAAGGCCATTATAAACAAACTTCATACCGATGTATAGAGTGTACTTCTTACTAACATATTATAAAAACAAAACAAAAAAAACAAAAAATAAAAACATATAAAACAGCAAGCCAAAAGTGCATTTTCATGAAATTTTGACAAAAAAATTGTCATCAAATTTTCACAATTTTCACCACTTTTCACAACACAAATTCTAATACTCCAAATGACATCAAATTTGACACACAGAAAGCTTGTCCAAATAAAAAAACAGGCAAAAAAAAAAAAAAAAAAAAAACCAAAAAAAAAATTCAAAAACCCTAAATCCAGGATCATTCAGGATCATTCATCGTTACCTAGGGCCAAAAAGTGGGGGTCCCTGTTGACCGCTTATGACCAAGGCAAGGGGTACTACAAATTGAACACATCCCATCTCAAAGATCCTAATTTTACAAGATACCTTAAAGATGTATGACAATTCTGGAGAGAACAGAGAACCCTGTTTGACAATGACATTGAATGGTTCAACAACGGGCTGTTTTTTCTAGGCCGTAAATGTAATGAATATTCCGAAGCACTAGCTAACTTAAGACATCAACAAGAAATAGAATTACGTAAACAGATTCAAATCCTACAAGAAAAGGAAACTAACTCATTATCCCCAGTAGACTTAGAATCCCTGGCCGAGGAAATCAAGGGTCTGGATGATCAACTTCTCAAATTCAAAGAATACAGATGGCAAGGTGCAAGGATTAGAGGGAAACTAAACAAACATCAGATGGAGGGTGTCATGGATGCAAGATTCTTCTCTATGGCCAGAGCGAGAATAGGCAAAACTACAATCAAAGCACTGGCAGATCCGTTCGATTCAAACGCACCCCT